ACCACAACACCAACAACACTTCCTCCTGAACTCACAAACAACAAGAAGGGTGATGCAGACAGTAGCAGCAGTATCAGCAGTTCTGTGTGGGTGCGTGTGCCACTACTGATTGTGGTTACACTGGCCTGTATTCTTGTGTGCTGATTGTGGTAGTGGTGTGGTGTGACTCAGGTCATCCTTTGTTTTCTTTTCTTTTTTTTGCATGCATCCCTACAGTCTAACTAATCTTCCACCTGTTAGGGATTATCTTTTTCTTTTTTGTTTCTTAATGTTAATGTGTTTTGTGTGTTTTTTGCTCTCTCTGTGTTTATCCTATAATTATTATTATTGCTACTACCCCATTGTGTGTGTGTTCTTGGAGACTCTCTCTCTGTGTGTGTGCCTGGGCTTGTACTGTGATAATAATGATGATGAACTGCTTTTTGAAGTGGGAAAAGATGAAATAATAATAACAGATGAATTTATATTTATAATTGCGTATATACACACACATAGAGTTACACCCATAGTTGGTGTATATTTCTGTGTTTGCTGGGTAAGTTGGGCTAATGGTTAATACATGATTTTTTTATTTGCTTGTGGTTTGCTGGGTCGTTGTGTGTTTTGACCTGCACCGTTGTGGTGATATGCTTTCTGCAGAAAAAAGAAAAAAATAGTGATTTATATTTTTGTTCTTAATTGCTTGAACAGACCAGCATACCCAAAGATTTGTGCTATTATTCTGCGGTTGGTGCTATTCTCAATTTGTTTATCATTCGTTTGTTTGCGCGCAGTGTGGTTTCGGTTTTAATGTTACGTTGAATTGTTTTGTGCAGAGAGCACATAAAAAAGGAATTCATATATATTCATAATGTTGCACATGGTTCTACTGAAAGTGAAAGGGTTATTTATTTCTGTGCTTGATTCCGATGATTGTTCTCTTAATTTCTTTTTTTTCATTTTTGAGGGGTAATTGGGCTTATCTGTTTGTTATTGGGTATTTTTTCCTTGTTTCTTTCATTTGGACACTATCTGAGAGATGTTTGCAGATATCCGTTATCCTTAGTTTGCTATTACCCTTTTCGTTTGTTTCTCTTTATGTGCTTTTCTTGATTTGTGTTTTTGGTGCCTCTCTCTGTTTTGTGTTTCGTTTAGATCACCACATTGAGATAGTAACACCAACGGGGAAAAGTAATGATGTCACTACGTCACGTCCTTTGTGTTCTGACTATCGCACTGTGTTGTGTCTGCAGTTGTGTGGTAGCTGCTGATGAAGCTGAAGGGCAACGTGATGGTAGGGCTGCTCAGGAGATTGTTGCTCCTCAGCTTGCCGCTGCTGCTGTTCAGGAACCAGGTGGTGATCCTCATAATCAAAAAGAGGAAGAAAGGTTGAAAGATGCTACGAAAAAAGGAGAATGTGGTACTGCTGGAGATGAAGAAAGGCAACCCTGCGAAGGACCACCCTCGCCGGTGGCACCTCCCGCAGAACATCATCCAGAAAGAAAAGAAACAAGTGAAAGCCGTACAGATTTGCACACCTCACAAACCCAAACCGCAAGCGTTCCTGGTGTCCCTGATGATTCCACGAAAGAACACAGTAGAGACCAAACTAAACCTTTGGAGGAAATGGAACAAGACGAAACGGCAGATAAGGAAGTGAACCAACAACAGTCTGTCAGTAAACCACAAACAGTTACACCAGATAAAACACAAGACACTGGTGACACGGTAAAAGAAACATTAGACGGACATGCACAGAGCGGTAATACACACTCTCAAGAAGCTCCAATCACAGAAAATTCTTCTTCTTCTGTAAACCAATCCAGCAATTCGGAAACAGAGAATGACAATGAAACTGGTGCTGGAATGAATGGAAATATTGCCGCAAATGCGCAAAGTGAGTCAACAACCAACCAAGAAGGCAATGTGGGAAATACAGATACAACCACCACTACCACCACCACCACCAGTACCACCACCACAACAACGACACTTCCTCCTGAATCCACAAACAACAAGAAGGGTGATGCAGACAGCAGCAGCAGTATCAGCAGTTCTGTGTGGGTGCGTGTACCACTACTGATTGTGTTTACACTGGCCTGTATTCTTGTGTGCTGATTGTAGTGGTGTGGTGTGGTGTGACTCAGGTCATCCTTTGTTTTCTTTTTCTTGCATGCATCCACACTACAGTCTAACTAATCTTCCACCTGTTGGGATTTCTCTTCTTTTTTTTGTTTCTTAATGTTAATATGTGTTTTGTGTGTTTTTGCTCTCTTTGTGTTTATCCTATAATAATTATTATTGCTACTGCTCCATTGTGTGTGTGTGTGTGTTCTTGGAGACTCTCACTCTGCGTGTGCACCTGGGCTTTGCACTGTAATGATGATGATGAACTGTTTTTTGCAGTGGGAAAAAGGAAATAATAATAACAGATGATTTTATATTTATAATTGCGTATATACATACATATATAGAAGTACACCCATAATTGGTGTATATTTCTGTGTTTTCTGTGTGAATTGGGCTAATTGTTGAAATATCTTTTTGTTTGCTTATCTGGCTTGTCTTGTACTGATTTGTTTTTTTTGCAGAATAAAAGAGTAACTGATACATATTTATTGTTAATTGCTTATGCACAAATGCACATGACGGCCCCTGTGCTGTTTTCTTGGAGTTGGTAGCTTTCTTGGCTATGCTCGTAATTTGTTTATAATTTTTTTTTGCGTGGGCTTTTCCTTGTGAGGTGGCTGTTTATTCTTCTTTTTTTTTATACTTTGTGTTGGTGTGCTTCTTTTGTGAGACCGTTGCTTGTTGCATTCTTTCCCGTGTATTGTTGTATTTTATTCTACTTTTGGTATATTTTATGTTTTGGATCTTTAACAGTTCATATACCTAAGCAAACAAACGAGAATTAAAGTTTTTCGCGATGGTGCTACGATGCGTGTTGTGTTTTTTTGCTCTCTTGCTGAGCGTTGCTTCTCTCTGCGTGTCCGCTGGCGAGACTGGTGCAGGTGCTGCAGTTGGTCCTGATACTCTTTGTATTCCTGGTTCTTCTGAACCTCCTTGTCCTGCTGGCGGTGGTGGTGGTGGTCATCCTCCTGGTACTATTCTTCCTGCTGTTAAACAACAGGAGGTAGAAGGGACCGGTGGTGATAATGATCTTATTTCTAGACCTGAAACATTGGCTGAAACTGTTAACTTGAATAGTCAAGGTAATCCTCAGGGAAATTTAAAGCCCCCTGGTAAACGAGAAAATGAACCCCAACCACCTCTATCATCACTACCCACACAACCTCATGTTCCCGGCAGTGTGACAGAGCTTAATCCCACTCACGATGGAGCGCAGATTCATGAACAAACAAGTCAAGGTAAAGCGAGTGGTTCACTCCCAGCAAATGATTTAACAACTCCTGTAGAGGATGGACAAGATGAGGAATCAAAAAAGAATTCAGAGGAACAGCAACCCCTGCACTCTGCCAGTAGAACCAATGGAAACTCTAATGATCGACAGAGCTCTCTTCCCCAGGTGCAGGAACCATCATCTGCAGGCACACCCGAGAGCCAGAAAGAGGAGCCCAATGTTAACAGCGATAGTTCAAAGGATGAAAATACATTTAACCAGAAAGGTTCAGACTCACAATCCTCTTCTTCCACATCTACTGAACCTCCTGGTGCACCTTCACCACAGGAAACTGAAGGAACAACAACCTCTGTAACTGTGAATACTGACAACGGCACAACAACTAGTGCGGAAACAACTACCACCACCACCACAACAACAACACTTCCTCCTGAACTCACAAACAACAAGAAGGGTGATGCAGACAGCAGCAGCAGTATCAGCAGTTCTGTGTGGGTGCGTGTGCCACTACTGATTGTGGTTACACTGGCCTGTATTCTTGTGTGCTGATTGTGATTGTGGTGGTGTGACTCAGGTCATCCTTTGTTTTCTTTTCTTCTTTGCATGCATCCCTACAGTCTAACTAATCTTTCACCTGTTGGGATTTATCTTCTTTTTTGTTTCTTAATGTTAATGTGTTTTGTGTGTGTTTTTGCTCTCTCTGTGTTTATCCTATAATTATTATTGCTACTCCATTGTGTGTGTGTGTGTTCTTGGAGACTCTCTCTGTGTGTGCCTGGGCTTGCACTGTGATGATGACGACGAAATGTTTTTTGTAGTGGAAAAAAGAAATAATAATAACAGATGAATTTATATTTATAATTGCTTTTATATGTATATAGACTTACACCCATAGTTGGTGTGTATTTCTGTGTTTACTGGGTAAATTGGGCTAATAGTTAATAACTGTTTTTTGCTTATGTTTTGTTTGTGCTTTTGTGTGTTTGCACCTTTATTGTTATTGTAGCCTGCTTAGTGTAGAACGAAAGCATAATATCAGTCGTACACACGTATATTTATTATTACAAATGATCTTTAAGCACATCCGTAATTCTCTGAAGTCTCTGTTTGATGATGCCGTTATTTGTTTTCTCTGGATTTCTGAGACAGTTGGTATGTGATGTTCCTATTTATTGTACTCTTTATTGTTGATTTGGGTGTTAATGTTTTGTTTGGCTGATGCTATTTGTTGTGTTATCTTATTCCGTGCGTCCTTGTTTTATTGTTTTTTTTTATTCTTTCTTCAGGTTCAGAGGTCGACAGCAGGCAGAATAACTCTTATTGCGATGCTACTGCGCTTTCTGTTGTGTGCTTTGAATTTGTTTCTAAGTGTACCCTCTGTGTGTGGGACGGCTGAAGTTACTCTTTCTTCCAAGCCTTCTCCTCGTGAATGCACTCCTCCTGCTTCTGCTGATGATGCTGCTGCAGGGTGTGCTCCTTCTGCTGCTCGTGTTGATGTTCCTGAGACAGAGGAGTGCACTGTGAAGGCTGGTAAACCTGAATGCAGTGACACTGCCAAAAAAGTACAAAAGAATCAGCTTCCTGAAGATCGTCGGACAAATGATTGCACTACCACGGATGATGAAGCTGAATGCACTAAAACTGTAAAAGAAGTAACAGACGAGCAGATTTCTGGTGTACGTGTGTCACACGGTGATGTATTGCATAACAGCGTTTCGGAGCTCGAGAGAGGAAGAGGAAGAACAGAAACTCATGTGACTGAACAAACAGTTGATCTCAAGGGCACAAAGACTGAGGCAGTCAAGAGAGAGGCAACACCAACACCACCACCACCGGGTAATGGTAGCCATAGGGACAGTACCAGCGAAAGAACTGAATTGCCGGCCCATTCACAACCAGCCGGTCAACAAAGTAACCTTGGTACTGCACAGTCGCAACAGAACA